CATGGAACTTGGCCCAAGTTCTCTGCATAGGGGTGCCAGAGGCAGCCTAATCTCTTAATCCAGGAGAGTGGCTGCTCCAAATGCCTGGAGATCTGCCTCATTGTGGAGTGGAGAGGGTCTCCTTGCACAAATATCCCTGCACAGGAAGGATAGGGTGGCTCAGGCTACTGCTCCAGGCGAGGAGGTGCTCCAAATACCTGGAAATCTGTGGAGCAGAGAGGGTCCCACTGCACTGCAATTCTTCTCTGCACCAGAAGAATGGAGCAGCTCCGACTGCTGATTCATGCTAATGGCACTCTGAATCCCTGGATATCTGCCTGGGCATGGAGTGGAGATGGCCCCCTTGCACAAGGATCTCTGCACAGGAAGGATGGGGCAACCCAGGCTGCTAGCCCATGCGAGCAAGTGCTTTAAATGCTTGGCAATCTGCTTATGTGTAGAATGAAGAAGGCCCTGCTACACCACAGTCTCAGGAAAGTAGGCTGGGACACCCAGCAATAACACACACAGACCAGTTCTAGTTCATCAAGCTAGCCCTGCCTGAAAGTCTCATTGCCCAGGAGAAACCACAGCCGTAGCAGCTCTCCTCCCGCCCAAGGTCTGTGACTGGGGAAAGCACAATTCCAGTGCCTACTGTTGAGATGTTTTCCACGGTTCTGTCTGTGGAGGACCCTACCCTGATCCAGAGCAGGTGCTCCAGTTTCTGTCCCAATACTAAAATGCCTGCATGGTCACTCTGCTGGGTTGCCAAAGAACAGCTGAATTTAGATGCACACAAATTAAAAATGGTGTCCTGTTCTCTGTCCTGGGGCTGGGAAAACACCTGTAGCTTTTTCCAGTATCCGTCTCTGTCAGTGTCTCCAAGCCTCTCGCGAAGTTAGCTCCAGGATTTGAGAGAAACAAAGTGCTCTCTCTCAGCCTGCGTTGCTCAGATCCCCAGTGGAAACGTGAGTCACAGAGGGAAGCTTCTACCTCTCATGTGCTGGGACTTCAATTCACTTTTATCAGCTGGACAGCATTATGGTGGCTGTTTGCCAGCATTCTCCTCCTCCGGATCTGCAGTGTTCTTCACAATTCCAGTGGATCTCCGTTTTCCTTCTTGAATTAAAGCTCACAGAATTTATCTTTATGCACTGCCTTGCTATTTCCAAGCGACTGTGGCATATTAAAAGCCTCTAATTGCCATCTTGAAAAAACAAATCTATCAACAATGTTTGATATGAGTTGGCCAATACTCAATTGAAAATAAGAAAAATTTTTATGTGCAAGGATAGTCTCTGAGGTTGAGCACTTTTGTTCAGTGATGAGTCATTTGAATTACCAACATGGTTAATGCTATAGAAATCTATGGAACCCATTTCTTTAAGAAATAGATTCATATCTTAATAAAGAACATCTTTTTTATTGTTTAATTGCCAAAACAACATGTTAGCCTATTACTGTAAGTAACCAGTTCAATCATAGCCATTCACATCATGTAGTACCAAGTGGTATTTTTTCAGAAAAAATGAACATGAGGAAGAAAACTCCTTGACTGGAAAAAAAATTGATACATATAATCATTACAGAGCTGTATATGTATATAACACTAACTGTGAGATGAATGAAGAAAACTCAGATTCACTGTTGAGTAGCTTATAATTTCGAAGTCCTCTGCTAGATATGAAAACTATTTAGTGTTGAACAAAAATAGGATACTATATCTCACAACTCCTATATAAATGTTTCCATTCCTACTTTATTTCTGCTTTCATTTTCACGGCGCATCTACAGTCTCTCTTCCGGCCTCCCATTTGTATTTTACAACATGCATAATTACAGATTTATTCTTTAATTATCTCATTTTCATATGAGTTTTATATCTCTTGAAAGATTTCTTTGAAACTTCTGCTTTTTTTATTTTCCAGAGCAGCAGAGTATTTTTAGAAAATAATATTTTACCTTATTATGCCTTTCAATTATTAAAAGAAAAAGGGAAAGTAGTAAAATAAACAAATGTAGAGAGTCACCAACTTACAGTGGTTTCACTTAAGATTTTCAACTGTCCAATAGTGGGAAAGTGATATGTATTCAGTAGAAACCATATTTCAAATACTCATGCAACCATTATCTTTTCATTTTCAGTACAGTATTCAGTAAATTACATAAAATATTCAACAGTTTTCTATAATATAGTCTTTGTGTAAGATTATTCTGCCCAACTGTAAGCTAATGTTAGTGTTCTGAGCATGGTTAAGGTGGGCTAGGATAAGCTGTGATGTTTGGTAGGTTAGGTTTATTAAACATATGTTCAAGTCAGGTATAGGGGTGTGTGCCTAGAGACCCAGCTGCTCAGGAAACTGAGGCAGGAGGATTGTTTGAGCTCAAGGAGTTTGAGAATATAGTGCACTACGAGCACACCTGAGAATAGCCACTGCACTCCAGCCTGGGCAACATGACAGGAGTCTATATTTTTTTAAAAAAAGCATCAGCTTACAATATTATCAACTTCTGATGGGTTTATTGGAACATAATCCTATCATAAGTTGAAGAGTATCTTTATATAGTAGAATATAGTAACATACTACAGACTTGTTTCCTCAAAACATAAAGATAAACCACACTAATGATCATCCATGGGAGAGGGACACCCAGGCAGTGTCCTGCAAAATGAGAAATACTTGTAGGCCATACTTCACATTCCTGACTGAGTCTCTTCCCCATGAAATAAAATCATTAAGAAATTTTTAGTAACATTTTAATTATTATATTTTAATTAAAAATTTAGGTATAGAAAGAAGATTGTATAGCTTTACATTAAAAATAAATTATTATGTGACTTGGCTACTTGACACCAACTAGCTTGTGTCAGATTCACCCTCCCACCATAAAAAACTATACAATCTGGACAAAATATAGAAAAAAATTCTTGACAGGTGCATTAGTCTGTTCTCATGCTGCTAATAAAGACATACCCAAGACTGGGTAATTCATAAAAGAAAGAAGTTTAGTGGACTCACAGTTCCACATGGCCGGGGAGACCTCACAATTATGATGGAAAGGCAAAGGAAAAGCAAAGGCACATCTTACATGGCAGACAAGAGAGAGGGCACGTGCAGGGGAGCTCCCCTTTGTAAAACCATCAGATCTCGTGAGACTTATTCACTACCACAAGAACAGCACGGGAAAGACCCGCCCCCATGATTCAATTACCTCTCACCAGGTCCTAAGCATGGTTCAGGTGGGCAGGCTACACGTGGGAATTATAGGAGCCACAATTCAAGATGGGATCTGGGTAGGGTCACAGCCAACCATATCAGCAGGCACTGAAGAACATTGTTGCAGCAAGTCAGGTATGAGATCTTTAAGAAAGGTGAAGCACATGAGATTTGTACCACATTTGCCAGGATTTTCCAGAAAGGCACCTTCCTGACGTTGGTACAGGAAAATGCGACCCAACCAGGGGTTAGTGGTCTTGGGAACCAAAAGAAGCAATGAATAGAGTTCAAAGCTGCTAAATTGGTTTGGAATTGGGGGTCAATGTACCATATGGGAGAGAGAAAGAACCTAGAAATGGGTGTGTAGATGCCATTTTGGTCCTTCTGTGACTTCTTAGCTATGTGACAGCTGGTTAAGAAGAGAGGAGACCTAGTAGAAAACAACGGCTGGCATACAGAAAGCAGAAGAGATCATCAGGGACTGAAAATTTACTGGAAAGCTACTGGAGTTCAGATCCAGCCAGATGGGGAAATGTTGGTAAACAACTGAGAAACTCATTTGGACTCTAAAAATTATCTTAGGAGAGGTGCAGTATCCTAGGAGTGAGGCATATGTTCTAAGAGGAAAATAAAATATCATTACCATAATACAGCTTAAAACTATGTCTTGAGAGCAGCAAGATGATCTACAAGTAATTACAACTTCTGCCCAGATAAAAAATTCAAAATTCTTGAGTATTTCAATATTATATTAGCCATAAACTCAGCATACTTTAAAAAAAATACCAAATATACAAAAAAGCAAGAAAAGAAGACTGATGAGAAATAAATCAGTTATTAAAAACAAATTCATAGAGAATCCAGATATTGGAGTTAATAGATAGAGCCTCATAATATCTATGATCAATATAAAGGAAAGAAAGAAAAAATGAAAGACAAAACAGGTTGTGTCCGATTTCTTTCTGGCAGCTCTGAAATGCTCACTTTATTTTCACAGAATCTAATTTCCTAAATTATGTTTGATGTTTCAAGCAAAAATCATAGCATTGCCTAGTGTTATTCTAAATGTATGTAAGACAATTATACTACAAATCTGAGAGGGCAAAGAGGCATAATATGACAGAGGGTTGCTATACTTCACTCAAACTGGAATACAGATGACACCCATTTAGTGTGATAATGTATATATAAAGGAATATATACTAAGCTATAAAATGCAACCTAAACAACTATAAAAAAGAAGACATGCTATAAATACTATGAATAACAAAATGGAATTCTAAAACAAATATTCAAATAACCTACAGGAAGTCATCAAAAATAAACAGAGAAACAAGAATTGATACAGGAAAAAAAAAAGTCAGGCTTATGCGCTAAAATATCCATAATTAGATTAATTATGAATGGTCTACCAAGACACAGATAATAGAAGAGTGTATTTAAAAGAATGACTCTTTCGTATATATTTCTTGTATGCTGTGTACAAGAAACTCACTTGAAATTTACCAATACAGGGCAGGCCAAATTAAAAGGATGAAAAAACATATATTACACAAACATTAATGCAAGGAAAGCAAGAGTGCCTGTATGTATATCAGATAAAGCAAAGAAAATTACCAGAAACAGAGAGATTATATAATGATCAAAGGTTTAATCCATAAAGAAAACGGCGATTTTAAAAGGGTACTCACCAAACTTAACAGAACTGCAAAATATGTGATGTGAAAACTGCCAGAACTAAGGCGGGTCAGGCTGGGACCTGCGTTGCCTCAGGATGTAAAGTGTAACAAGGGGGCCTGGGGGATGAGGGGACAGCAGCATGGGCCTGTGAGGCCTGTGCGGTGCCCGCGTTCCCAAGCTCCCCCCGCAGCCGGCTCCTCAGTGGTCCGCTCCGCTTGGTGGCCGCGTGCGGATTCGGATTCCAGACCCCGGCTGCATGTTCTCCACCGCTTGTTGTGGCCAGTGTTACTGCGGAGACCCCAGAGCAGCCTCGGCGCTGTGGTGGAGCCGGGCGCTACCCCTCAGCCCTATCTGGGGCTGGTCCTGGAGGAGCTACGCAGGGTTGTGGCAGCACTGCCTGAAAGTAGGAGACCATATTCGAATCCTTATGGTTTTCCATGGGAACTGGTGGTATGTGCAGCCGTTGTTGGATTTTTTGCTGTTCCCCTTTTTCTGTGGAGAGCTTTTAGATCCGTTAGGAGTCGGCTTTATGTGGGAAGAGAAAAACAACTTGCTGCAACGCTTTCTGGACTAATTGAAGAAAAATGTAAACTACTTGAAAAATTTAGCCTTATTCAAAAAGAGTA